CAACGCGTGGTGTCCCAGATCTCTGCGATTTTTTTTGCAGAGTTATGATCATTTAAACATTGCCTTATAACTCCAAAAGTATTTCATGAAAAAATATTTTATTATAGTGTTTTGGAAAGCTCTCGAGATGTGCTATAAGAATATGCAATGAAAAATTAGGTGTTCCATTTAAAAAAATTGATCTGACCTTGACCTGACTTTGAAGACGCCACGCAAAGTCAAACGGATCAATAAATAGATCTTTTGGAACCCTACAACTTTTGTTTGAAACACTTTTCTGTAATACTTATATTTTCTTTGATATTCAGGTGTCCCGATACTTCTTTGCTACACTATATAATTGTATGTGGCACCATATACGTATAATCATATGAGGAATATAAAATGTTCCGAAATGGCAAAATATCTGAAAAACTATAAGTTTTATAAAAAATGTTTTAGATAAAAGTTGTAAAGTTTAAAAGGCCTAGCCGCTGGCTTCATCAGTTTGATGGCGTCGCCAAGATAGGGCAAAGTCAACTTAAACGTTTCGGTTCCATTCGAGTCATTACTTTAGCGAAGTTGATACACTGATAATCATGGTAATATCACAACTGGTTGCAATTCACAATGTAATTAATAATTCGACCAGTTGTGATATTATCAAGATTGCGTGTATCAATGTATTACTTCAACTTCGCTGAAGATGGCATGAATGGAGCCGAAACGCTCAATCTTTATTCAAGATTAGAAATACATTATATCTAAGGCCATGTTCGTATATTATTGCCAGTTGACTGCCAGTACTGAAAATCTATAGTTCCCGTTATGTATACTATACTGTATTGACAACTGGCATTAATATACAAACACAGCCTAAGTACAACGCATAAATTACCGCGTATTAGTGCTTTCAATTGCCGTTATTTAATAATTATTAGTGTTTCTTATATATTTTTGGATGCCGAAACCGATACTGACAGCAGAAAAATTTAGTATATTAGGTTTCCAAGGTTTAATGTGCAAAAAATGATTTTCTTGTGATATTTGATTTTTTTGTTATAGACAGAAAATTTGTTATCTTAGAAAAAATTCTGTATTTATATCCATCATAACACAGTTAAAAAATAAGATATTAAATTTAATAAATTCATTTTATATAGAGGATGAACAATATATTTATGATTTTTAATCTGAATTTCAAAATAACGTTAACCATCTTTACAATAAAATGTCAAATATCGTCAGAAGAGGAGCCAATGTTTAAATATTAAATCTCAATTATCTTAGAAACTTAACGTGCTGAAATTTTTTGACTTGCGACATCACGCGCATGCCACACGTTAACATTCAAAAATTTGTGAAAAACACAAATTCTGGTTCAAAATAATTTTTTACGTGAATATGGATGTGTATCATTCTATGTGACATTTATCTATATGGACGATATACATATATACATACACACACATATATATATATATATATATACACACAATATCTTTATTTTAGACCGTATATGTGAGAAACACAATCAATACTAGAAATTTAAAATGCCTATTACGGTCGAAGCTGGATCTTCGTTGCTTAAAT